CCTAACCCTAACCCTAACCCTAACCCTAACCCTAACCCTAACCCTAACCCTAACCCTAACCCTAACCCTAACCCTAACCCTAACCCTAACCCAAAACCCTAACCCAAAACCCTAAACCAAAACCCTAAATACTATAAACTCTGAAAAAAGTAATAAATATAATTCAATTGAATCTCTATTTATTACTTTTTTCAGATTTTCAAAAAGATTTAAATTATATTCTATAAGATTAATAACCAATTAATAACTTTTTGTTAATCATTACCCTTAGTTTTGTAAAATTATTCAAACATTTTCTAATATTATTTAAATTCGATTTTTAGAATTAATATTATAAATCAATCAATTTAGAAGATAATTCAATTAAATCCCTATCTATTCCTCTTTTTAGATTTTTGAAAAGATTTAAATTGAATTCTATAAGATTGATAACTAATTAGGAACTTTTTAATTAGTTATTAGTCCCCTATCAAAATTTATTACCAAAATTGATGACTATTAAAAAATTCCTTAGAATAATAGTTAGTATTAATATTAATAAGACTTTGAAAATGAAGAAAAGGTTGAATTTGATCTCGACGAAGGTGGAAATGTTAGTAATCAATTTTTGATTTCTATTCAAATATATAGCTTTTATATTTATTTAGTATTAGTATTCTATATTTGTCTTTTCTTTGATTAATTGTATACTTATTCAATTGTCTTAATTATTTCAATTCTATCTTATTATTTGTTTATTTATTAGATTTAATATATTAATTGATATTATATTTCTCTATTCTAGATTTAGAGTTACAAAAGTTATATACAATACGTTTATATGTTGGTGTGCTGGTGTATTCACGTGTATATATTCATTCGTATTGCTATAAATAGGGATCTTGAATTTGGGAAAGTAAAAGTATAATGTTTTTCAATCATTTATTGATATGTTTACATTCTATACATCACCCTTCTATTACGATTACAAACAACCATGTATAGCGATTATAGTTTCAATCAAGTTCAGACTTCAAACGCTAGATTAATGATGATCCCTACATAGACGCGGGAGTTACTCCCCTCAACGAAATACTAGCCCTCACTCTTGCTCCATCACCAATATCAAAGTTGTCCTGTAGTGTCATATCCGGCGCGTTCTGCAAATCTTCAAATGGTATCTCCACAACGCCAATCTCTGTCGCTTCGTTCATACATACAATCCGCAAATTTCCAGCTGTTAGATCTGCGGCGGTGACTGGGATACGGAAGTGCTGATCAAAGGTCGGATTGTTGATATCTGTACCAGGTGCATCTGTCTGCACAGCTGTTTGAAAACGGTGTTTGCTTCCCCACGTCACAACTACACTCGGCTTCAGAGTTTCTCGCTGGCCTTTGATGCCGAAAGCACCCGCGACAAGTACGTTGAGGATTCCGCACATTAGACCATCACCACTATGACTAGACGCCGAGAAGCTACTGCTGTCCTCAGCAGTAAACTGGAAAAACTCACATGAGAGTGCGATTTTGCTTTCACTCTCGGAGCCCTTATGCAGCATTCCGAGCTCTTGCTTACCGCCAGCCACAAGGATCTCCTTGACGGTGGTGACAGCTACACCGACCTCATCGTCGGAATTCAGGTCGTGATCTGACACGACAACTTTGATGCGTTGGTTAAAATCTGATACCACGAAATCATGCGTCTCACCCCACGCTGGAGTTGTAGTATTATTCTTAGTCGTCGTCCTCCATGCTGCCTCAGCTCCAACTTCGATCTCAGCATAGCAATCTGGACTCGCCCGTGTCAACTTAGAAAACAGCTTCTTTGTCTTGGACTGTGACTCCTCAGTGAAACCCCATGCTTTTTCTGCGGTGATCCGAACGATGCCTAGTGGCTGATGGTAAGTCTTGAAATAATCGTTATTCGCGTCGAGTTTAACCAAGATACGATTTGGCAGAACAACCACACTGTTAATGATGCCCATCAGCACCTTGCGGACAGCGTTGTCGATGAGGGACAAGTCAGCGATGTTAGCGGCACCAGTGAAGTTTAGTTTGAGCTCGGGCGGGTTGATAAAGGAGATTTGAGTGGCCCCGATCTAAGGGTAGATTTAGCACGAGAGCTGAATTTTGGCTTTGGTGAGCTATAATCTGCCACTTACCAATGGGATGATATTCGTAAGAGGACATAGTAGAATGGAGAGTCTGCCGCTCAGTATAACTTCTTTAACTCCCTGTTGAACGATGAGCTATTCTGTGAATTCAGATAGGTGGCTTATTATAACTTACAACTTTAGGTATCATATTTCCATCCAGCTCAATATCACACTGGCCATCCCAATCCACATTCAAGTCAAGCTTGATACCATCATGAGCAGTCTTTGTAACCTTGACATTGGAAAACATGATTGGTGTGGCGCCAAGCTCGATCTTAGTGAAGTGTAAAGTCGCCAGTGGACCAGGGAGCATAGTCTTGAACATAGGCTCGACGATTTCCTTAACCATTTTGCAGCCGGCAACCTCGATGTTGGGCCATAGCTGTGCGACAATATCGTTCAGGAAGCCTACTCAATTATATGGCCAGTCAGTTCTTATTGCTTAATCCTCTAGCAAGACTGTAACTAGTATGATTTAAAGGCACTGACGACATACCGGCAGACTCTCCACCGCCTTCAGTCGTCAATTTTTCGATGATTGCGGACATCTTGATGAAAGAGTGCTTATCGTTCTACCAACTTCAGCTTGCTAAAACAATAACGAGGTGGTGATTGAATCTGGAAGTTCCTTACGGTTATAAAATCGACTTCTTTATCCACGAGATTCAAGATATTGAATCATTATATATAGTGGAACGGAAGTTGATGTGGTCATTTCGCAGGGCAAGCATGATAGGATAGTCGTCTGTGGCCATGTGCTATTACATCAGTGTGTACCACGTCAGTGGTTTTGGCCACGTCGTGTGGGGCAGATCCAATTAGAATCAAGCCAAGCCGCGCGCCGAGATTTTAATCAGGGACAGGAATCAGGTAATAAGTTAGTAACTCGAGCTTAGACTTAAGCATAGACCACAAATATCAAAGAATACACGCACGGTGCAGCCTATGAAAATTGAGCGACACGCAGTATGAATGGCGTCTTCTTGGAACAAATAGTGAAATACTACGATATGCGGCTAAAAACCACGATTACACTAAATAGTCGAATCTTGTCACTATTTTTTCCCAAAAGATTCCATAGTATGGTATGATATGAGTTGTTATATGAAGTGAAATTATCACGTGTAATGTTTATGGTATGAGTATTCTAATGGTCGAGAGAAGAATCGAAATCCGATCCACGGGTATTTCTCTCTTGATGCATGATATTGGGCGTAGATTCCTAACCAATGGCCTTTAATCAATTTCGAATCTTGCGCAAGCGTTTTACGCGGCTTTTGAATCAAGCTGCATCTAACCTCCCAAATAAACATCGCCAAGGAATTCATGTGCAACAGAATGTCATTCCTCAAGAACCTTCATACTTCCTCATGGAGAATTTCGAAATGCTCGCGATAGCTTCCTTTTAGAGCACATTTTTTTCAACTATAGCTTGAAAAGTCTACCGGATTGTAGGTATGTGCAAGATTTGTACAGTATTGCCAATGTATGGAGGGGAAGTATCCCCTTATGAATAAATAGATACAGTTGGAGAATTTATGTGAGGCAGGGGGCTCCCAACGCCGGTAGAATCAAAGATGAGCCATCGTTGAGATCTATAAAGCCTGTCCACATCTCCCGCACATTTCTGAGAATCGTACTTCCTACAGCTTCTTCTTCTTTGCACAGTAGTTTGACAACCATGGTTTACCACACTTCCAACTTGAAGTCCTTTTGGTCATTCGTTACATTTGCTTCTCTCTTTCAAGGGGTCTTCACTCATACAGGCCACAACATCCGAGAAGAGATCGCTCAGCGTGATGCGTTCTTTGGCAATTCAAAACGAGATGTGAGTCATTGCTTTGAACGCATGAAAAAGCGCGGTTTAGGAAGTCAATACCATGAACGTCTTGCTAAGGCTCTGACCAAAGCCCGTTCTAACTTTGGACTTTCGCAAAAAGGTAAAAATGAACTTTGAAAACTCATAACCAACACTAATAGGAAGCAGGAAATTCGTTGAAAGATCGTGATACAAGTCCTCTGACCACTTCACATCTGTCTTCACTTGATGTCACCCCAAGTACTGCTGATGTGGAAGCAATTGTCTTTAGCAACTCTTCTTGTGTGCTTCAAGCAGAAGGGGAGGTTGGACGTTTCTGTAAGTCATACAAAAGCCACAATATGATATGATTATGACTAATTTGATGCTATTTCAGATGTTTCTGGTGAATATATCCGTAGCGACGTCCGCGAGAGTGAGGAGGGTGTGCCAGTAGTGATTGATGCTGAATTCCTTGACATCAACACCTGTATTGGTATTTCCGACCTATATTGGGATATCTGGAATGCAAACTCTACTAGTATCTATGGTGGTGTCCCGGTGGAGACGGAAGTGGGAACTCAGCAGACACCACCAACATCGACAAAACCTTCCTTCGCGGCCTTCAACCTACTGACGATGAAGGCGTTGCTCAATTCACTACTTTGTTTCCCGGTCATTACACTGGCCGAACAAATCACATCCATGTTGTTGCACATGTAGGTGGTAGTATCTTACCGAATGGAACATATACTGGTGGGAACGTTACTCATATCGGTCAATTGCTTTCCGATCAATCATTGATCACGCAGGTGGAAGCCGTATCACCATATTCAACTAACACGCAAGAGGTAACTCTAAATGCCAATGATAGATTTTTGCTTAATGAAGTATGTATCCTCCTTGCACTTGGCTTGCTTTCCCTATGCCACTGATTTATAGTATAATTAGAGCTAACAGATGCACAGATCAATGGTGGTGGGGATGCAATCGCCGACTATGTCTTGCTTGGAGATACGATCGATGAAGGCGTGTTCGCGTGGATCACGGTCGGAGTTAATTTGGAGGCTAGTTATAATGCAAACGCTGTAGCAGAGCTCACAGCCGCAGGTGGTGTCCTGCTTGCTTCTAGTGGATCTGGAGGCGGGGGTGGAGGATCTCTCCCATCTTAGATATCGACACAAACTTTTGATCAATTGCAGTCTTGAAAAGGTTTTTGATCATTTGTGTTGTTGGCATCAAGTTGGGCGCTTCGATTATTTGGTGGTGGTGCACCCTTTCATAGAGCCTTGTGATGTTTTTTTTTCTTTTCAGCTAGCCCTTTTAATCTCAAGCCCTTTCTTGTGGATCCCTCATCATTCACTGAGTGTATCCACAAAGCATTTCAAATTTGAGGGAAGAGAATAAAAGGTCTGACATGAATCATGATACACACTCGTTTTACCTTACGGTTTGTCATTCGTCTTGGGCCTCTCTTTGGAGTAGCTAGCAGATATTATCCCTTACTGTACATGTAGATACAGCTTAAACACACGATTTACTTTCTTCGAATGCGTTATGGTCATGTTCACAAATGCAAGATTCAAACTTGGTGAGAGAGTATTTACATTATACACACTCGCTATAGATACAATCCTCCTATCCTGCAGCCATCTTTGTACCGTTTTATGTGTGCAATTGATAAGGAAGGTCATTTGTGGATAGCCGTTGCGTTGTTTGTATTTTTATTTTGATGTTGTAAGAGTCGGAGCGACGACTCATCGTACACCCACTCATTCAAATTCAACTTTGAAATTTGCAAAGTCCCGTATCTCAATCCATCATTGATATCGTCTTTTTCCGGGATATTCATGGTTGTAGATATTATTGATAGTAATAAGCACCACAATACGTATTACAGTTGCAATAAACGCAGCTCTGATAAATTGATGGTCCATACTTCTGATCAATAGTCAATTTCTCCCAGTGAAATCTACTCACACCGGTCATTGTCCGAACTTATTGTGGACATGTCAATAAGCATCCTATGTAGCAAGTGAGGTAGTTATTTGTTTGTCGAGACATTAAGATCAAGTGGCATGGGAATTAATATCTGCAGCGATTCACCGATACTTGTACTCGTACACCAACTGCAATTATGAAGATCAGACAAGTTTCTTTCCTGAAGCATTCAGCCAAGAGATTCGGTACCGAGACACCTCAATTCTTCAAACAATGAATGCGGGGTAGCCCACAATCACTTTGGCGCGGAACTCTCAAATGCTTCCCTTATGTCTATCCTATACTTTAAATTCGTAATGCATTACGATGACTCGACTGTGAGTTGACCTCTAGGTCCCTTGTGGAGTATGGGCCGTGCTTACCCGTTCGATCAAAGCAGTGTCTCGGTACATTTGAAAAGTCCGATTTCTTGTTATTATGATGGGCACAGACTTTGATTGTTTATTTTATGCTTGGATATAACGTGATTCATATACATGCAGGCTATATCACTATGTAAGCCACTTTTATCTCAATTCCCACTTATTCAATTCAACATACGATATATCAACCATTTATTATAAAATCTATAAATAAAGAAACACAACTTCTTTTAGTCATCAAGACTATATGAAAAAACAAAAAACTAAGTATTCGAAAAACTACTAAAATATATAATATACTATATATTACATTTTAATATAGATTAAACAGATTTACTTTTTATATCAAATATCGATATATATTTTATAATCTTTTAAATTAGAAATGGATATTATTATTTAATATATAATTAATCTAGATTCAAAAGGTTTTATATTTAAATATAAAGTAATAAAAGATATAACTAATCATATTCTTGATTCCAGAAAAAGGAAAAGAGTTAGAAAACAATAAGTATATTAATTTATGAAATACAATAAAAAGCTAAGGATATATTTTAATTGTATTTATGACTTTCAAAGAGTTCTCTATAAGGATTCTAAGCTTATTACAAATTGATTTCGATTTATTTTAAATATACAAATTAAATTTGATATTCTTAATTATGATTTATAGAATTTCGATGAAACAGACTTTATGATAGGGATTATAAATACTGATATAGTTATTACTAGCTTTGAAAGGTCCAATGGGAGTAAAGCTATATAATTAAGCAATCGAGAATGAATAATAGCGATTATATATAGAAATACTATCGAAGAGATAATATCTTCATTTTTAATAATATAGGAATAAATACACATTTCAAATTAATATATGAATACTAATCTTTCTATAGATTAGACTATCAAATCTATAAGTAATAAATGAATAAATAATGAGATTAACTTAGAATAATTAAAATACTTTAATAAATATATAAGAAATCGAATTAAAAACTAATATAGAATATTAGTACTGAATAGATATAAAAACCATAAATCAATACTATTCCAGGCTTATTATAAAAAGAATAATATTAAATATATATATCTATTAATATATATATCGATTAATATATTTCAATCATTTAATTTAATCTTTTGATATAAACTGTTTTAGTATCTTAAAACAAGAATATAATACTAAAATTGAGGGTTTTATAAAGGTTTATATTAATTATATTTTAAAGATCAAATTTTTTATAGTTTTCAAAATTGTATATAAAAAAATCAATTACAAATTAGAATATAAAAGCCGGATTTTAAGAAATAGTATTAATTTCATTTAATTTTGAAACTATATTCTTTAAACTAGATATTCATTTTTATTTATCTACTTCTCCCTCTTTTAATATAGATTTATAAATCTCTCAAATCTCTTACAATCTTATAGAAACTCTTTCTCAATCAACATTAATTAAATCTCGAATAACTCATTATCAATCAAGCTCTCCTATACCTATATTCAAAATTATACTAGCTTTAGCTAAAGATATAAAAAGATTAATATATAAGAATATACTTTTAAATATAGAAAAACTATATATTTCAAAAAACAAACAAAATATTAAATAAGTATTAATATACAAAAAAGATTTAATTATAACAAAAAGGAATACTTACTAAACAAAAAACTTTTAATATATTATTTCAATAAAAGATTAATATTTAGATTTAATATAATAAGTATCAAAAGAAGGGAAATTCTAATAAGAAAATATCTTTTAATTAATATTATAACGAATACAAATTGATAGAATATAATACAAGAACTTATCAAAATAATATAATAAATTCTATATTATTAGATTCTTAAAAGCTTTAATCAATTGAATCAATGATTATTGAATAATATAAATTTGAATATGGAAATTAAAATGAAAGTGGCCCACATGGTGATATAGCCCGCATACATATGAATCATGTTATAGATATCTTTGCTGTATGCAAGCATGTGTTGCAAGGGTATACGCACTACCTGCTCTATGTTAATTGAGAATTAAGCTAGGGGAACTCGAGAGGAAAGGGAGAAAATTGGCTACAGGCTTGACGAACTAACTTGACGGCAACCCCTACCCCTGGAAATGTAAACATCATTCATTGACCTCCCTGGGTTTGACCGCGGGATATCCACAATACCCCCATTCAATTCTTGATACCGCAGTTAGTAGACACGGCACTTACAAGTTACTAAGCACCTCAATATCAAGACAGCCAGTCTATATACATGGGTTAAATCTTCAGCTATAAGAAGTTTCAATCGCTCCCAATTTTCATCACTTCAGCCAGCTATTCATAAATTCATCTCTTCTTGTACATACTCCATTCCAAGACCCTATTTACTATCTTCGAGAATCATAATGAAGATCACTCAAGCCTCCCTCCTTTTGTCTGGTTTGGCCTCCGTTGCCTTGGCCCAAGACACAAACTGTACCACCGCAAGTCTCAACACTACTGCTTCCACCTGGACTGTCACAGAGACCGATACGATTTTCAGTATTGCTGCTGCTACCAACCGTGGAGTCTGTGATATTGCTCGTGCTAGCAGAATGCCAGATGCTGAATACATCGATACCGGTTTCGTGTTGATCATTCCCGCCGAAGTTTGCAATCCTGATAACGAATCCTGTCTCCTCACTGCCTCAGATGACACAACTTCTTGTCTTTATGGAGGACCCCATACGTACACTAGTGTGCGTAATGATACCGTCACCAAGATTGCCATGAAATTCAACATCGATGTTTCTGCCATCTCAGCCGACGTTATTTCCATGCTCGGTGTTTCATCCGTCGATGAAATTATCACAGCCGGTACTTTGATGAAATTACCTCAATGTAGCCCTTCCGAATGTTCTGTTCAACCAATTCAGTTCACGTATGGTGTCTATAAGGATCTGGCCGAGGAATATAACTCAACTGTTGGTCAACTTTTTGGATTCAATACTGGTTATCGCTACAGTTCGTCGATTGAATCTCTATCGCCCATTCTCACGATTCCAATGAACTGCAGACCGCTCTCAGATAATATTACTGTTATCTCTTAAGTTATGTGTGGACAGATAAGCTTCTAGTTGGTCTTAAGTCACTCATATCGGAGGACGTGGAGTGAAAAGTGTGTCAGTATGTTTGATGATACTTTATTTTCTTGGAGAGTAAAATAGCTTGTGATGTTTGTTTGAGTATTTGATGCATAGTAATGAGGTTACCATGTTGTGGGTAGGAGATGGTTAGGGTGTTGTTATAATTTAGTCACTAAGAATGAAAATACAGAACATTTATTAGTCTCAGCACGACTCTCATATGTTTGTCATCAATGTCACTAAATTGCCAAAATCCAAAATTCATACCGAAATCATCCCGAATAGTGACCCTCCTTCCTACCCAACCCCAACGACAAATTTTCTGACCCTCCCAAAGTCACAACACATTACGTCTATGATAAGTCCACCTGGTTTGGCTGAATATATATTTTTAAACTTGAGCGCCCTGTATAAAACTACGAGCAAGTTGGCGCAGTGGAAGCGCGCCGGGCTCATAACCCGGAGGTCCCCAGATCGAAACTGGGACTTGCTAAGATATAACTTTTATTTTTTGATTCCTTCCTGTTGCAAGAATCACGATGGTAGAAGGCTTGTTGAATGAATGTTCATATTGGGAGACTGATCTCATTTTCATTCATTGAGGTTTCTTTTTTTTTTTTTTTTTTTGATAGCTTGGAGTGGATCCATCAATAAGGTCTTTCGGCTTTGGAAAGAGGCATGTAGGCGTCCGAGGTGGTCCGATATTGTCCGGCTATGTCAATTGCCCCACCAAGTTTAGCACTCTGTAGACATATGCAGGATATCTACACTCAAATGACTTTTTACTCTAATTTAATGAGAATCCATTGCTTGGACTACTTTTCAGCCTACTCCGAAAAAAAAGTCTATTCAAATCTACCAATCCAGAACCTTGTCATTTGAATGGTTGAAGTGAATGATATAATCCCACTGAAATATATCATTAGTCAATCTCAACGAGGGGTCCAAGACGAACTATCTACCGCGTACTAATAATTGATTGCCGTATTGTTACGTTCACTTGAAGACATGCCAGGTTGTGATACCCATGTCACAGGGCTGAGTAGCGCCACTTAATTCATTTGGTTCGTTGAGCTCATTTTGATCAAAAAATAATCAATCTACCTAGGTATACCCATAAAACCGTCCATAAATTTAGAGTTTTGTTTCGAATCCAATAGTCATTTTATGAGTTGCATGAAATCTGCGATTTTTGATCTCTTTTCTATCACCATAACAATAGATATCATGTCCCTCATGAATTATCTCGGTCTATAAATTTAATCAAATTCATGTATATCAAATGGTGGTTGCTGGTAATCAACTCTGTCTTAATGAAGGCTCCTGGTTGTCGCGACATTCATCTCATACATTCTTCAATATCGGCGTATGCTCACCTTAGGGTTAGGGTTAGGCCTTTCGATTGCAAACGTTCTCATTATCACATTGATGAATCAAGTACAAACTGTTACTATGTACTATCTTTTCGAGACTGCACCAGACATGAGATACTGCATCCCGATTGCCACACCACCTTCCATTCGTGACTGGCTTAACCTCTCTCAATTTCTTGTTCAGTGGATTGGCTCGTTGTTCTTATACGTTGCTTGAAACATAAATATCCTTATAAATTGCGGATCCAGCTAAAATTTCAATAGATTTGCGCTCGTCATTTATCTACCCTCTCCAACGATCAGTCCTACTGCTAAAACAGTTACAGCAATGCTTTGGATCCTTTATGGGCTCTTTTCTATCTTCTATGTTGTAGTAGGAAGTCAACCCGAAGACATTGTATAGAGTATCAACCGCAATCTTCACGTCGGCATCACCAATCCTCTCTTCACCTTCCTGGCTATCGTTGCTTTCTTTTTTCAGGCTCGTACAGTCACTATGCACAGATAATGGCCGGTCACCTAAATCACACCAAAATTCATCCTTAAAACAAATGAATTTTAATATAATTAAATCCTATTTATATAATTTCATCGAATTTCGATTTTTAATTTCAAAAAAATAAATAGTTTATTCTTAGGGTTTTTGTTGATTATATTATATAATTTTGAAATATAGTAATTTTAAAATTCTAGAACTTATTAATAAAATAACCGAAATCTAAAAAACTTTTATAAATATTATTTTATTGATAAAATTCTAGCTATATACTTAATATTGGAATTTGAAATTTAAAAAATATAAATTGTTATTATAAAAATAATATATTTGAGAAGTTTCAATTGAAGAAAAATATTATAAATATCAATAAATTATTGTACAAAATATAATAAATCGCTATTTTGTGATGTGATTTAGATAATCGGCCATTATCTATGCCCTAATACTATATAATAACACCTTTCGAAAAAACGAATCCATTGAGCGAATGGACACTTGGCTCCTAGTTGTCCATATTTATGCTTCTTGTCATTTCGTGGCCTTTCAGGCTGATTCTTCCTCCTAATATGTGGGAGTTGGGACCGCAGCCAGCCATATTTCTTGGATGGTACCCTTGGGTTGAATGGGCTTGTGTCAATACCACTATCTTGACAATTGACCGACGCATTTTATTACTTCTATGTATTAGAATAGCGAGGTTTGATCGCGAGTTTGGATCTCATGATGAACACGAGGTTTTGATTCGCCCTAGAGACCTTTAAATCGAAGAAAGAATAGATCTTTTGCCTATTCACATCTATAACATGCTTGCTCTCAATTTCTTTCACTATTGAATATCACCCGACAGGACCCTTCAATCTATCCACTTTACCATTTGCTTGATTGAAACATACACTAGATCGCCAAACTAGTTTCTCGATCAACCATCTAACATCAGCGACATAGTTTAGTTACCCTAGATATACCGGACATACTAAAAGTCGAATATGATATCTATACAACTAAACTCATGAAAAAAAAATCCGAAACTAACAATCAGGAATGAATTACTACAAAAGCTGATTTTCACCTCTGTAACCCAAAAATCTACGTGATCCGGAACAAGTACCCCTCAAATTCCATTGCACCAAAACACTCAACATGGGAAACAACAATCCATTTGGTTCTCTGCTGATAAATCTGTAGCAAGAAGATTACGATCACACCCAGGCCCACCCCGAGGATCCCGACCACCATTGATACTATGAAATTCTATAATAACTATACTAAATCACTTATTAATATAATGATATCTCTTATCAAAATTGAAATAAAATAAAATAAAATAAAATAAAATAAAATAAAATAGAATCATATAGAAGATTGTTGATAAAATGAACTAAATTAATTGATTATACTTTCTTTTTATAAATATAAATGATTATATAAGATTTGATTTACATTAATCTTATTCATAATTAAAGAAATCACTAGAATTTTATCATAAACTATATAAACCTAGGATATTCTTTAAAGAAAACCTAGAAAAAGTAAGCAGATTAAATACAATTAAATATATTCTTATAATTTGACTTCAATTTTATTATTATCTTTTATATTCTGTTTATCCCTAGGCTAAATCTGATTAAGTTTTCTATTAAATATTATAATAATTTGTTATTATTATAATATAAAAGTTAACCTTAAAGACTTAATAGAGGTATTTTCTACGACCTAGAATCAGTAACACAGTTTCTTTTTCCTATTAGCTGACACTCGTAATCGAGTGAGACCAGAGCGTGAAAATACCTTCTTCGACAACGCTAAACTAAAGCTGCCTTTATTTGCTGCTATCCTGAAGGAAGATACCTCTGGAAGTCACAATCTTGGGTTTGTCAACAAATCCAAGTATATAGACGACCTGGTTTATGTCGAGGTAGATAGTTCACGCGGTCATTGGAACTTCAAACTCAGTGGTTATGACCTTGGAGATGGTGAGACTGTAAATAATTCTCTCGAAAGCGTTATAAGTAACATCCCATTGATCTTGTGCTCCCAACAGTAGTTCTATGCCACAGTAGCAGACTAATTAGCCCAAATAGACACGGGGGCATCGTTGATCTTTCTTCCCAAGAACTTAGTGCGTGCATACTACCAACAGGTCATCGGAGCAGAAAATAACGCCCAATTTGGTGAATGGACTGTCCCTTGCTCTTCGTTTCTACCATCTTTCACAATTTTTATCAAGGATTGTGAGGCTAAAATTATTGGCGACTTGCTCAAACTTGATCCCATCGTACCGGGCTCTTCTCAATGTCTGGGAGGTATTCAAAGTAATATGAATGCGAAGGTGTCCATATTTGGGCACGTCTTTTTGAAAACACAATATGTTGTTTTTGATCATAGAAGCTCTCGACTTGGTTTTGTAAGATAATCGTGAGTAAACATGAGTCTTTGCATATACTAGTAGTAAGATCGATGAAATGTTATGAACTGTTCGATACAACTATCTGCAGATTGCCTTGTATGTCATCTATCCTTTAATCACGCGATTTCCTTCTCAATCTGACAAATTCTGTTTCTGAGCAGCCAGTCGTGCTTTCCGAATGCCACTTTCATGTTTCTCAGTACTCCATTCACGAATAGCTTTGAAATCTCTATAGGTATGCACCACGTCAAAGTCTGGCATGATCCATCCCTTTTTTGATGCATATCTTGACGCTGGCACCAAAGGTGCTGGTGTCAGATCACCGTGGCATTGTATTACCTGGCGTAGATGGTTTATACAGTGATCTGCAATCAAAAATCAGAACGAAATATATTGAGCAGAGGAAGCGGCTTACCTATATGGAATCGTGCCCACCACTCTTCGTGAAATCCTTGGGCTCGATAATAATCGACATCTTGTGCAATACGTATGGCGTTGAGGCAATGGAGACTGTGGAGAATGTCTAATCTGAGCGAAAATTAGTACATCATGGCTTTTATTCGTGGATTGAAACTATTGACTGACCCAACTGTATAATGACCTCGGTACTTGTCATATGCGGATCTGTCAGAAACCTCTTTTGCCTCTTCTGGTGTAACAGCGATATCCTCATCTTCAGAGATGAAACGAATCGGCTTAATAAAACTTGCGATCAACAAAATATATTCGAGTCATATACTAAAGCTTGCCATGCATCATCCATTTCTGGCGTCGGAGGACCTACGTAGACAGGTTCGTCGGGATTGACTGTTAAATATTGCTTCTCATTGTCATCGAAGCGGATTCCTCCGTAAAATTTGACTTGCTTCAATCCTATTTCTTCTCGAGCAGCAGCTAGAAGTGTGACTCTTTATTAGCATCTGGTATTTTATCACAATCTCACTGTACGTATGAAGTTACAACCAAAATTGGAAAACTTACTCCATTCTGTTTCGAACCCAGTTTCATAGTCATATTGACGCGGAATATTCTGTTTACTCCGAACATAATCCCTTATTCCACTTGCAAGAAGGAGAAATGCTAGTGGAAAAGTTGTAAAGATCCATATATTCGGCTGCTGGGGGGAGGGAGGGGAAACGTCTTAATGACTTGATCTGAGCACTTCCGCCTGCGCTCTCAACAAGTGGATGGCATTCTTCTTCGTCGTTTCCTTCGTCTTTTGAACTGTGTAACATGTTTGGTTTTTGTCTTGTGCTTCAGTGATTAATTTAATCTGACAGCGTTATATTTGAGAATGAGCTCTATGTCACGAGAGAACTAGTTCCTAATGAAACAGGACTAAATGTTTGGTCATCTAGATCTCTCATCTGAATTTCTATATAGAACTAGTTGCATGACTTAATATCAATAACGACTTAAGTGTAGTTAACAAAATTAGAAATTATGCTGTCGTGCACTAGCATACAAGCCCACAAAATGGGCTTACATGGCAGTACATTATGGTCAGGATAATATCATTTTGTACGAAGTATAAAAATACATATTTTAGATAAATTTGTATTTCGCTAGGTTTACCTTTAATCGAGCCTATCTTTGCTTGCTTCGATAGGCAGGTGAGGGATCAGCTCCCAGAGTTGATCTTGTAAGACTTAGCGCTGACAATCATTTGTGCAATTCGAAATCAGGGAATTAAAGTTGTCTAGGCAGTAACAGCAGTGATTGCATCTGTTGTGTTTTGTGCTTCCCGATATCAAACCCTAGTAAGACAACTCCTCTGCTGCAAGGCTCTGCATAAATGTCTCGATCCTTCATATAGCGAGCGCACATATCTTGATATTACAATGCGGGGTTTATTATCTTCAAGTTAGATGATAACCGAATATTTCCACTTATGCTGCATTAAGTTTGAAAACAATTAACCGAGTTCAATCTCGAGAGTATATATATGGTTGTTGTTTAGACTACTTTTCTGGCTATTCAATCTCTGTTCCTCATCTATCACTTTCAAGCTGTCCTCAGACTTCTCAATCAAGGATCAATTCATATTCTACCCTCACTACAACACCAACCCTAAACACTAAATCTCATCTTTTCAAAATGAAGTGGACTTTCATCTTCGCCATCGCTACATTTGCATTGGGCGCCGCTGCTGCTCCGGCTGGCGCTGTTGAAGCTGTCCCTGAAGCTCTTTACCTCTCACCCATCAAATATGCCGAATTCGAAGAAGACGCTTAGGGCTGTTTGTCGGATCTTTCACACTTGCTGCGTAATGTGTTTGCGTCGATTTGTCTGGGCTCTACCGGAGGTGTGCTGTACGGAAATAGTGGATCTTAGGGAATGATTTGACTGCGAAGTCATGTTGATAGTTACGCAGAAACCCGGCAAAATTAATTAGCTTGTGCAGTGTAGACCTTTTGTAAAAGTCTTCATGAAGGTTTTTCCACACCTCAAGGCTTCACTTCATCCTTGAATTAATGTAAGAATTATTGGATGATAAATTTTGAGTTCGTGGTTTCCATCATAGATCTTCCGTTCATTAAAGTGCATTTTTAAAAAGTGACCAATTGTGAATCACATTGTCATACCATGAGTGAAAAAAGTGCCCCGATTGAAGTAGAGGTGTAGGATAAGAACCATACTAGTCTTCTTAAAAACTTTGATCTCAGGATCTGAACTTCCACTATCCAAAGGCATTCTTTGTGAATCCCTTAAGGGGAACACGGCTGGATTAGGAGGCACAATTGACTTCGAAGTCATGGCTTTCGGAGCAGGTATGATTGCGTCCTAAGTTGAAGGCTACTATCATCCTTGACGAGTACCATTGATGCGTTGATTATAGGAATTTCGGGCATCATCGCTGCTCAACGTCACCTTGATGCCCACCCAGACTGCTGCTTGGCTCTGTTAGTGGTGTTTTTAGCAAGCATAAGTATATCCTTACGAGCTCATCAGTTATAATTGGCTATGTGCTAATGGTCATCTAGGAAGAGTCTATAGCGATTCTTGGGCGCAATGGTCAATAGGACTTGCAGAATTCTCACATTTCTCTGTGAAACAACCTCTGGAAAAAGATTTGAGAAATAACAGCTTGAAGGCCGAGTATACCACAGAGTATTTGGAGCAATATGCCAATCAAGAAACTCATGCTAGGCGTTCCCTGTGTAATATTCATTCTGGTGTTCATATTGAATTCATTACAAAACCCTGTGGTAGCAGAATCCGTAGTTAACGAAATAATCCTTTTATAATTGTTATAAATTCTATAATATCTTTATTATATATTGAATAAATCGTTTTTAAAATATTAATATAATCAATCTAAGTTTCTATACTTTATAAAGCTTATTCTAATCAATAAATTCTTAATGAATTTCTTGAATTCTAAAAGATTAATTGAAAGCTTTAGTTTGAAATAATAATTATTTATTAAATAAAATTTTTTTAGGTTTTACTTACTTTTCAATCTCCTTTCCCCTTTTTCTTCCTTTTCTTTTCCTTCTAAATTGATCTCCTATTAGATTTCAATAAGAGAATAAAAAAGTTCTTTTAGATATTTTAATTAGAATCTATTAAGGATTATTAATCTTTCTATTATACTTCTATTTATTGAATTCAAATTTATTTATATATAAATTGAAATCAGATTATATTTTTGTTTATATAATACATTCTATATTATATAATATAATAATATAACTTATAATTTCATTTAAAAGCTTTCTTATAGGTTTCCTTTATATAATATAACTTATCGAAAGGATTCTACTCCTCTTTAAACTTTCGACTAATATCTTCCGCCTACTTTTTAGCTTTTACACTTATTCCTTTTCTTCTCTTTAATTCTTATTTATTTCTTTAATCTTCTATATATATATCTTTCTATCCACTTTCCCCTCAATTCTAATATTCAAAAATCTTAAAAGCTTTAAGGCTTTTCAAGGTTTTTATTTTCTTTTTTTTAATCAAAATTCAATAATAAATAGGTTACAAAAAGAATTGATTTGATTTGTTAACGAATATATATATCAATATTGTAATATACGAAATAGAAATTTGTATAGAGGTTTATATTGAATTTCTCTTTATTTAGAATATTAACTTTGTTATCACAAGGAAATTGGGTGAGAGATGGCTTATATTCTGCATGGACTTCAATAAAGCTTTCATTTCATCTGTTTCCAACAAGTTATTAATTGCAGATGATGAGAATTCTCTGACAAACATGCCAGAATTGCATGGTAAGAAATCTTTTAGGGGAGTTGCACTACACTCTAAAGAATTTGGAGAATCAAAATTCATCGCCAGTGAGGAACTCAGACACATTGTGGGGACTGGCGCTGGAAAGTCTTATGATTTACGAAGCACTGCGCTCTGGGAATACAGTCTCCTGGATTATTCGAAAGACGGATGCTGGTCCAGGATGTTTCGCTCTTATAGGCCTGAAGACTTCTTATAGAAACCCCTGTAGTAGCAGAATCCGTAATTAACAAAGTAATCCTTTTGTAATTATCATAAATTCTATAATATTATTATTATATATTGAATAAATTATTTTTAAAATATTAATATAATCAATCTAAGTCTTTATACTTTACAAAGCTTATTTTAATTAATAAGTTCTTAATAAATTTCTTAAATTCTAAAAGATTAATTAAAAGCTTTAGTCTAAAACAACAATTATTTATTAAATAGAAAACTTCTAGGTTTTATTTGCTTTTCAATCCTTTTCCCTTTCTTCTTTTTCTTTTCCTTTTAAATTAATTTCCTATTAGATTTCAATAAGAGAATAGAAAAGTTCTTTTAGATATTTCAATTAGAATCTATTAAGGATTATTAATCTTTTTGTTATACTTCTATTTATTAAATTCAAATTTATTTATATATAAATTGAAATCAGATTATATTCTTGTTTATATAATATATTCTGTATTATATAATATAATAATATAATTTGTGATTTCATTTGAAAACTTTCTTATAGGTTTCTCTTATATAATATAACTTACCAAAAGGATTCTATTCTCTTTTAAATTTTCGACTAATGTTTTTTATTTACCTTTTAGCTTCTACGCTTATTTCCTTTTTTCCCTTTAGCTTTTATTTATCTCTTTAATCTTTTATATATATACCTTTTCATTTATTTTCCCTTCAACTCTAATATTCGAAAATCTTAAAAGCTTTAAGACCTTTTAAGATTCTTATTTTCTTTTTTTTAATTAAAATTCAATAATAAATAGGTTGCAAAAAGAACCGATTTGATTTATTAATAACAAAAAGCTTTATTTATTATTAACAAATATATATATTAATATTGTAATATATGAAATAGAAATTTATATGGGGATTTATATTGAATTTCTCTTTGTCCGGAATATTGACTTTGCTACTACAGGGAACGGCGTGGAGGCAGCGCAAACAAGAATTATATCAACTTCCCACCTTCACTCCTTAACCAAGATACATGGTGGACTTAGTTTCTCCACAGTACGGCAATAGGCGTAGCCACTGTAACATGTATCTTCAACTGCCAGTACGCGAAAAGGCAAAGTAGGATGGAAGAAAAAGCACGAAAAGCTTCAAAAGTTGATATATAGTATAGAGTGACTTGAGATTATTGTTCTCGCACTAGCCTATATTCAGTTCCATCCCTTGCATGTCAGGGATATTAACTTACCCTTTGAGTATATTTTGGCAGAATGGCACTGGCGGGGCGCTACACCACGAGAATTTGAAATCTAATAGCTGAGGATGTGACAGTATATCGTGATGAAGTGGAAATTCTTGGCAATAAGACGCTGTATCTTCAAGATGATTCTCATTTCCCTTGCGATGCAGTCCTATGTGGAACGGGTTGAAAACTCGGAATTGAATCTTTTGGTACTAGTCTCCCAGCGAACCTTGATCTTCCTCACAAGAAGGAACGTGAGCCACACGAGGTGACAGCAAACGGAAATCCCTTACTATAGAAGTCGACGAAAGTTTGAGAAAGAAATATCCGCTTTCCGCAAATCCTCCAAATCATTTCCACAAGAATATTGATACAACTCCATATCGATTGTAAAACACAATCGCTCCACTGAGCGATGATTAGATTCTTTTCATAAACCATATCACGACAGGAAATAAAATATTCGCTGCAGAAGCATAAGCAATATGGGCGGTAGCTCACTTTGACAAAAAACTTATTCTACCTCCAATCGGAGAAAGAGAAAATGAAATCGGGAACTGGGTTGCTTGGTGTAGGTTGAGCTATCTCTCTAATGGTGAATGTGGAATTCTTGCTGCTTTCCATGGTGTTCCCGATGTTTATAAGTCGCTTAGGGATTTTGGGCTGGCCCATCGTAGGAGCTGGCGGAGAGTTCTTTTGGAACCGTTTAATAAGCCATGTGATTTGGGCAAAGCATGGGAGAAATATTTCGATGGGGAACAACAGTAAATAAAATGCCTGTTTCTCAATCGAATGTTCTCTCCATGTAACGTGGCGCATCTATGGGAGCTTCTCTTTGTCTCCGAAATTGGTATTGACGCAATAAAATTCATTCAGATCAATGTTGGCGGTTTGCTTGTCTTCCGAATGATATCTCATATACCTCAAATAAGGAGAGGAGTTTATTCAAGATATCAACACGTTGAAAACTTAAGTTCGAGTTTTCACAAGTGACATTCAAACAGGTAGTTGTACTACCTAGTAAGCACCACAAAGAAAAGTATCTCAAATCAGATGACACTCTCGATGGAATGACCGGCAACAGAAAGTTTTGCCCGAAGCTGGGAACTTGCCCGGCATTTATTCGGCACGTCAGGCACGCCATCAATTGCCGACGCTTCCTTTGTTTACGGTGTAGTGCGTGAGGGTCGCGCATAAGAAAGATGGGGGCGGCGCGGAACCCAGCAAGCTTACATGGTCCCGATTATTGAGATGCATCATATCTATGACGTGGAGGACGATGAGGTGCCCCATATGCATTTTCTTTGACAAGATGCAACGAAGGTTAACAGCGAGACTTGACTCTCACATCGCCCCATATCAAGACTATACCACTTGAAAATAATGCCGATTTGTCCAAGAATTCAAGTAGCCCTTGGCACTTGTAAGACGACTCATATGGCCAGCTATTCTTCATATTCTATCACAGTCGTGAATTCAACAAAATTACTCTCCCTCGGACGATCATTGTTGTATCTCGTAACCATGCATCGTACCTGGCTCAATAAAGTCATTGATCGCCATATTTACCCCGCAATTCCCCGCATATACCTGCCACGAAGCTTTCAACATTTGGATATCTTGAATATCTCCATTACGGGGTAGAATTTTACCGAAGCCTCGTCGCAGCTACATAAGTTACACTCAGAGACGTCATGTAATGTCTCCCATGGTACATTCTTTCCACACACCACAAAAATGTTGTCTCAAATCTTCCTCACAGCATTGATTCTCCCCCTTTTCGTATCCCCCTCTTCTTCCACTGCCGTCTCTCTCGTCAAAGAAAAAAGATGCATCGTAGAGGCCAGTGCCAACGGCGGCGATGACGCACCAGCAATTATCCACGCCTTCGAAGAATGTGGTCACAATGACGGTATCACCACTCACGGGACCGTCGTCTTCAAAAACGCAACTTACAACATCCAAACGGTCATGAACACCACCGGTCTATCCAATGTGAAAGTTGATCTTCACGGTACACTATTGTGGGATACCAACATTCCATACTGGCTAAACAATTCTCTGCCTGTCGGTTATCAGAATCAAAGTAGCGCATGGCTTTTTGGAGGCGAAAATGTTCATTGGGATGGTCATGGATATGGGACATTGAATGGAAACGGAGAGGTTTGGTATGAATTTATTAATGGGACGAATAATTATCCAGGGCGACCTCATCAGATTACATATACAGGTGTTACAAATTGTATTTTTGAAAATTTGAGGTTCGTGCAGAGTCAGATGTGGACGATGACTGTTATTCACGCAAAGAACATTTTGTTGGAGAATATTTATGTGAATAGTACGGATGTAAGACCAGTTGGATTTGAGTTTAGTAGTTTAAATGTAAGTACTCTTTTTAGTATTTCGTGTGCTGGGTGTTTTCAATGGAAATATGGAGACTAATCTTGGATACATAGACGGATGGTGCTGATACTATCTATGCGGATAATATCACCTTCCGCGGTTGGACGGTGGATAATGGTGATGATTCCATCTCTATGAAAGCCAATTCTACCAATATTCTCATTGAGGATTGTGATTTCTATACCGGGCTTGGTGTAGCAATCGGGAGTATTGGTCAATACGGTAAGTCTCCTAGATACCTATCATAAAGCGGATCTAATTAACACTTTCTCCCGTCACAGAGGGCAGATATGAAGTAATTGAAAACGTCACCGCTCGTAATATTCGCTCTTACAACATGCGCTATGGAGTTTACATGAAAACCTGGACTGGAGTATCAACTGGGTAAGACCACTGCTTCATCATTTTTTTTAAAAAAAATTCACTAACAATTCTAGATACCCTCCGAATGGTGGAGGCGCCGGTCTGGGCCACGCAACCAACCTTTCTTTCACCGGTTTCACGCTTCATAATAATACCGGCATAATCGCCATAACACAATGTACATCCTACAATTCAGCAACTGGGAATTGCGACACCTCACTATTCAATCTATCAAACATGACCTTCGCTTCTTGGAGCGGTACAGCCTCTAGCGATGTAGTAGCAGAGCTACAGTGTAGTGGTGCCGCGCCTTGCACGGGTATTCTGATAGAGGGTATGGAAGGTATTCTGGATACCGTGAACAACACAAAACCCGCGCAGTACCTTTGTGATAGCGTTGTGGAACCTAATGGATTCAATTGTACGGGTGTGCCATTTGGAGAGAATCCTAGATAGAATGGCTGGGGGGAGAAAAGGACGAAGCGAATCAAATAATGACGTGAACGATAGAAAGTGCAACTCATTGTCTATGTCGCGTGCGCTCCTTACTTCTTAAAAAAACACTCTTCCACCAAGTATAGGTATCCCTTCTTTCCCCTAAGATTGAAATAAATGACCAGAATTGATGTGGAAGGAAAGAGTCGCCAGTGCCACCACTGAGTGTATTAAGCTGAATCCACAATCATAATCTTCCTTTACACAAACATAACTCTATTTTCTTAATCCGTCACCACAAGTATCATCAATAAACGTGCTATTCCCTCGCTTTAAACCAGTATTTACAAATTTCATTCATTTCGTTACAATAAACACGGCTTATCAAGGACATTGTTCATTTTTTTGTGCCCCCAAACTACTCAAAGAACCAATGTCCGAATACCATCCATTATTTGACACCGACTACCCACTGAAAACTTTCATTTTCATTATTACTATTTTCGCTCTTTCTAGTGGCTGGTGGGTTCACAGAAATTACAGATCTCACAGCACATCTCCAAAAACGCCTGCAAAAGCGCCTGCAAAACCGAAGAATTATGGTACGGAGAAACGACGTGAAAGGCGATCTGGTAACTGGCAGACACCTGGGTCACCTGGTAAAAATGTACGGTATTAAAGATACAAAGTCAACAAAAAGATCCAAGACGACTCGATGTCCAAGCATATTCCGACGTTTCAAAGATGCCATTTCTTGGAATGGAGGTGATGGTCGTGGATTGTGGAAAGAGTACTCCGCTGAACCTATCTTGCACGAATCTACAATGAGGGCACTATTGAAAGTCGAGGGCGATCTCTTGAGGGTTGTATTTCCTGAAGACAATGTCTCTGCAAAATTCAAACATCCCAGATCGCAAGTTACCACGTCTAAACTCCCTCCAAAAAGCTCACCAGCCACTCAATCTGATATTGGGTACGAACATAAAGTGTTTGGACCTAGTATTGCTCAAGAAAAAGCAGATGCCTCTGCTGTCTGTAGTGTCAAAATTCTCACTGTGAAGTCTCGCGATCCTCTCACATACATCAAGTCTCATGATACAGAGGATAAGATACCAGAGCTAGTTGTTGTTGATGAGCTAGTTTCTTGAGTTGTGTTGGAGGAGAGCCTGGATCTCAATACACAACCAACACATGGAGAATTGCAATTGTCAACGTCGATTTTCTTTCACAAAATCGGTAAGAGAAATTCCAGATTTATTGTCCTTTCTCTACTAATATTCGAAAGTAGGCATGAGACATTTAAAATTCATCACACGCTTTATTTCTATCCTCTTAGGCGGTCTCTGGGTTGAGGAGGCTTTTGAATCAGCGTATACTTATTTATCACATGAAAAATATGACGGCGAGATGGTCTTACAAGTATTCCATAAAGGATCAGCAGCCTGTTTGTATTAATTTCTATATCTTCCATATTCCAAGAAAGAATAGATAGCGATCACCAATTTATCTTCGTCTTCTGACTCACAAGTCACAAATTGGCCGAGAATGAGTGCAAGCCATGATTGAATTATGATAAAACATCAGGGTGTCTATTGAAAGCATTGTAGAGATACTTAAATTTGGTCTTTTCCTCTCTTTCCCGGAATCAGACCTTGTTGTAGTAAATCTACAGCTCAGTTCAATACATTAATTGATGCAAAAGTACACATTTTTTAATTTCCGCGAAAAATTAGTCTTGAATGTGAAATTGTGATATCAACCCAACATCGCACAATGTAACCTTTTCGGAACGAGAGAGAAACCATTGCGGTACTTTCCTTTACCCGTATTCATGATCATAACTCAATCCTTCGCTCAAACTCCAAATTTGTATCATGATTAAATTTCGTCTTCCGTCTTGCTTTTCTCGTATACTCTCCAATCACTGAAGTACCTTTACAAGCAAAGATGGCATCCCCCTAGCCCTCATCCCCAGTCCCGAAAATTCTCTGCCCAACGGCAACCCCACACTCGCATCTCTCTCCTTCCCTCTCCTTAACCAGTTTTCTTCTCACTGCAATCCCCGAAACAACCGGCCCAACGATCGTACATAGAACTAACGCCCAGATTATCACCAAGAATATTTGGTCTTCGAGTACATTTAGTGTTCTGAATCTCCAGGTAATCTTGTGCGAGAGACCTTGCATATTTAGGATCCTGATTGGCGTTTTGGAAAGACCTAAGGTGCCTGAGCTTTGCGCTTCTGAAGCTACCAGGAAGCCAAAGCCTCCTCGAGCAATCATTGTGGACCCTACAATAATTGCATCGAGATGAGGGGGGCCTTTTTTCAATTTTTGATTTACGATATTGTTTGTAGGGACTTCTTCAGGTGAGCCGTCTTGTTGGGGAAGTTCTTCTACTATTGGGAGTGTTATCTTTTTAGAGTCTGTCCAATTGTGAGACCACTCTGTGGCGAAGAATTCAAAATAGACAACTACTCCCACGGAAGCTTTGGCTAGAAACATCAAGCAACCGTAGAGGATTCCTTTCCACAAGATGGAACCGGAAAACATTTCGGAGACGGGGATGGAGAAACCTATTGATGCCTATTTTGTATTAGATGTGTTTCGTTTCGCAATTTTCAGGCTTTGGAGATCAAGTATGATATTTGGAAAAGCAGTAAAAGCACTTACGAAGAAGAAAGGCACTAATATATGATCTATAATAGGCTTGTAATACTCCTCAAACATCATTGTAGGTCGATCCACACCCAAATCTATATCCTCTCCACCACCCACAGTTTGCCAAGTATGTCTCACCACAGCACCAGCTAAGAATGCAGAGAGTAATATCGAACCTTCTACACAAGCGGCAATAGTTACAAGAACTATAAGCATCAAAGTCGATAGTATAAATCCGGTATGTCGCGAAATTCCCTTCTCGGTATCAATATCCTCACCAAAAGTTTCTTGGCCAACTTTCGGATATGTAAATATTGAATGGGAACCGCGAAGCGAAAGTTTGAGAAGAAACGGCGTCAGCAAGAAAGTGGCAAGAATAAGACCCAAACTAGATATGGCAGGACGGGCAATTGTCCAAGAATCAGATTGACCTTGTCCGAGTGCTGTTATGATTTTAACCATCACGAGAACAAGAATATCATCTAGCATTGCCGCGCCAGCTATTAAAGTACCGATTGGTGTTTTCTGAAGGTTTGCGGATGCGAGAATAATAAAAGTTGACCCTAAGGATGTGGAGCAGAGAGACACTCCTGCTGAAAAAGCTGCTAATGCGGTTGGATATCCTGAACCTTCAATACTATCGAATTTCATAGCCATGATGGAAAATGAAAGAGCCATCGGCATCAGGACTCCAATCATCGCAGCAGACAATGTTAACCATATTGTGTTTCTTAATATATGAAGATCCGTGATGAGGCCACCTTCAAATACCAAACAGATAAGCCCCAGATATCCGAGATATTGTATTGTTTCTTGGATTTCTATTCTGAGAAATGAAGTTCCAGTGATAGGCATTCCAGAGAGAACCCCGATAAATATTTCTCCAATGAGTCCACAATAGAGGAAGGAATCGAGAAGGTCACGAGTTATGTTAAGAATGAATATGAAGATAGAGAGAGGAAGTATGATGTCAAGCCCTGGTTCGATATAAGGAAGGTATGCCATTCCTTTCAAGTTTGGAAGTTGGTAATATGGAGAAAATGAGAAAACGATCAGGGTCAAATTCTTAACGATGAACTGATGTACCAAAGATAAAAGTATTAGAAACAAGCTAATGAAATCTATTATCTTGATCGTCATCTAAATTATTCTCGTAATTTAGATCCGTACGTTCCAACACAATGCTGCCTTATTAGATGGTGTTGTGTTTAATAGTCCATAGGGTGAATCTCAGATTGTCCCTTTTCGTTCCATGCTCTTCGGTGTAGTTCATTACACGTGCAAAAGGACCAGCTCACCACTCGGGGAGTCTTATAAATGAATAAACGTTGTCATTGACTCACCTGAGTAATTTGTTATATGTTTATGATCTATCGCCTCGTACAAAGCATAATCATTGTTGGGAATGTTAGACAAGTTACATAAGGGGGGTAGGACAAGGGACTTTTTGGGCGGAAAATAATACTGTGATCAATTGGATAGCTTTGTCCAACAATGTCAGATAATGTTAGATTTCGATGCGTTATCTGATCGTCAATTAGTTAGGATAAAGTTTTGCCAAGTTAAGCTATGTACATTGGTTCTTTCCAACTCCGGTCATACAAGGGACTTGCCATCTGACTGGTATGGTATTTTACGAAAATGCATCGAGGGCTGAGCCTTTCTGATTCGACTCGAGATACACTCGACATATCAACGGTAACTAAACAGCATTACAAAAGACACAAGTTTCCGACTAATTTTCCGATCGTTGAAACTTCACACAGTGAGGAATTAGTTATCCTCAACCAGGATGAGGAACATCGTATGAATTTCTTTCCACGCATATGTAATGAAATAAAAATAGAAAAATTCCTCAGAGACAGAACAATAATCGAGAAACATGTTAGAATGAGGTTGGTTTGTAATAAAATCAAGATCATTTGTTTAGGAATTCTGAGTATCATCACGATCACTCTTTGCTATTGCCATGCTTGCACTATCAGCACTTACAATCATTTGAATGTCCCCAGTGAAATCAAACCAAGGAATATGACACTCCGACGCCGATTCATTAGCCTGCTAATTGAGTGACCTTTAGGATAATCTCTCAATTCATAATCATGAGCAGTAGATACCCATCAACTTTGAGCTTCCTCCGTCCGTTCGTAAACAAGCACGATAAAAACTGGCAACATGGCATCTACCAACAAGAAGGCGGCATTGAAACAGACAGAACAAACACCGGAAGAAAATACTTCCATTGGAAACGTGTCTTGACTGCTATACAAACTCAAAATAAATAAATGCCGTGGTGAAAGTGATGAGTGATTGACGTTGATTGATTACAGCAAGAGCTTGTCTTCTTATTAGATAGACATCAGAAGGTGGGTGGGGCATGCAGTAGTATAGTATTCTTGAATTCCATGTAAAAGATATGAGAAAAAGAAAGAAAAATAAGGAAGGAACAAGTGTATTATTATGCTGTGACGCAGCACTGCCTGCCCTCTTCCAAAAGGCAAAAGAGCGATTTTGTCAATTTTGGAATTGCTGATCAAGCAAAAATAGATCCAAAAAGTGCTAAAAATTTCTCAGTGAAAAAAGGAGCGTACACTACACCTCCTCCCAAAGCCTCACATCGTAAATGCTTTTCAGAAGATCTCTCCTCACTCTCCTTATACTTCGGAAGAGGCAAATCCATCGAGTTCTTCTTCCCATTTCTTCAGATGGTAGCAAAAAACCAAACAGGATTGACAAATGCAAAAGAAATCGATCATTGCCCGTTCTAGGAATCGAACCTAGGATCTCATCATGTCACGTGAATTTAACCACAAGTACTAGTGATGCGCTTTACCGCTAAGCCAAACGGGCTGTGTGGATGAAGATTTGCTTCCGTTTGTAAATATATACCTCCACGATCTGTAGCCTAAGGATTATGGGTAATCCTGCGAGATGCGCGTGGATAAATGAACTTAATCTCGATAAGAAATCGTGCCGTGGTCACATCAGAATACTTTTTCTAACATCTGCCGAAGGCCTACAACCGAGCAAAGATTGATGATTATTATCATTAAATTAATGTATTAAAGAGAATCGTTTCAATCACCTGTGTACATCTCATCCAAACGTTGTAATTGATTTTAGATCCAAATGACATGGTAATTCCATAGTTTGGAGCTATCATGGATAATACAAACGCGAAACGCGTCTCTCCCTATCAAGACCAATCACGACCCTCTTCCCCACTCGATTTATCATACTGATACCGGCATAGCTTTTTCTTTGAAAATGTCGTTGTCGTACATGAGAGGGAGAAAGCTCCAAACCTCTATAATTTTCTGAGGTACGGCAATGGAAACCAATTTTTCACCGCAGTGCAACGCACTGAATGTCTCCGATGAGAAACGATGCTTGGAAAATGCTACATCTGTCAATGGATTATTTTGTAGCTTTCACTCTAAACAATGTCAAGGTATATCCCCAGAAACACCCCGGACAGAGCCGAGATCTCAATATCTGAAAGTGTTGGATACTTGCAATAAACTTAGAATGTCGTCAAAGATCTCCCATGGAATTCAACACAATTAACAATGACCTTCAGGTCTATATCGTGGATACAAACTTCGTACAGCTCGACTGGAACGACTAGACAAAACCCCTCCCCCATACCTTGCAAATACGAAAATTGCCCTTGGAAACGAGACTTTTAAGGATATTACAACGGAAGCAGATTGTAAGGAATTACATGATTGGCTATGGACCAAATATCAGCTACTGGAAAGAGTGATAAGAGCGAGAAAGCTGCATCATAGTCGATTTTTCAGTCAGAACATGGACTATGGGCATGCAAAATTCTTGGACCAGCTTAAGAATCAAAAAATACATGTTACCTACGCATTAGAAAAACTCGAAAGGAGAACTACAGAGGTGTGTCAATATCCGGAACTCATTGCGGACTTTGTGCTGACTTTATCTCTCTCCAGATTTTATATCAAAATCAACAATGGTTCAAATGGGTACGAGAATGCCAGGATGATGAAGAAGCACATCGCGAAAAAGAACAAAAGAGAATAAAGCAAGAGGCACAGCTATGGCAGAGGAATTGGAAGCAAGCAAAACAAAGAATGGAGGAGAAAATGAGAAGGGAAGAGAAGAAGAAGCAAGATACTTTTCTGGAGAGAATATACAAGGAGAAGATGAAGGAGATAGAAGAGAATGAGGGTACAGATGACGATATGGATTGGGATCCTATTGAGGGTGAGTTGGAGGATGGACGAGGAAACTTTATAGGTATGTTCATATTAACATCACGATCTTCCATGGGTAGAGCTACAAGTCCATGCTTCACATTTCATATCTTACAGATGCTAACTGGCCATTCCCAAAGATCTCATGCGGCATTTCTTATGGATATCCTCGGGAGAAGATCTAAAACTCGTCGAACCTTCATCAATGGAAATTGACAAGGATGTTTTGATCGAGAATGATGTAGCATCGCAAAAACCAAATCTCAAGGCAAATAGTACCGACAAACTTGACGAGCTTGTGGCTCATATCGAGTCCGCTGGTTATCCTGAAAAGTCGAAAAAGAAGAAAAAGAAGAAGAATGGAGCAGCTACAGCAACTGCGCCTTCTCTTTCCACAAAGACAAGTAAACAAACACCCAAGCCACAAGAGTTACCTGATAAATCTCTAATCGAAAGTCGAGAGGACATGCATAACAGGTTGGCTCATGGAATAAAAATTGACCTTGATGATGTTCGCGGGCCCATGGTGGCTGGAACGGTGGAAAATCCTCACGTCCAAACAACAACTCGAACATTTACAGAATTCGAAATCACACGACTGCTTGACGAGGTGTCCGAGATTAAGCACTTATTGTTCTGTAGATTGTTACTTGCACACGCCGCTTTACTTCCGGCAGCTCTTCGTGCTGATAGTATTGAAGCTTTCTTTCAAGATGATGAAGTGACTGGCACCGCTCTGAGAGATGTTTGTCTCAAAATGGAGAAACCCAGTCTTCAAGAAATCCGGGATGCATGTGCAGACTTTTTTCGATCGGATGAAGAAAAAGAGGAGAACCCCGAAACAGAGACCCAAAGTGAGGATGTTGATGATCATGAAAGTTCTGAACCTAAAGCTGTTGATCCTTATGATGTGAAGATGAGGCTGAGTGGGAAAAAGCGTGGTGAATTACCTGGAACATGGCGTTCAAAGCGGGAGCTCTCTCGAGAGGAAGCAGCTCAAAATATGCTTGGAATGGCTCCATCTATGCAAAACATTATGGGAGATATGGAGGGCGGTGCGATTAATTTCGGCGATTCCACAAATTTCCAGCAAGTGCGCAAGAAGATCCGCGTGAAGATTTGTGGTAGAATGATTTGGAATTATCCTAGTGATAAAGCAATGACTCGTGGAGGTTGGTTACATTTCTCCATCATCGCAAGGGATAGTAATCTCAATACTGCAATTGAGTTATGTCGAAATTGGGAAGAGTTCTTTGAGTTAAACATTCTGGCCTGCTGGGGTTACTTTCCTGCTTCAAACTGGGCTTCGTGGGTTGGAAATAGATTGAAGCAGCAAGCTTTACAACTGGTGAGTTTCGTCAATTCTACCTATGAACGCTTCATTAACAATGCAATAACTAGGGCTTCATCATGTACTACGAAAGTTCAGAT